ATGGACTTAAATAGAAAATCAGCTTTACACTGATTGTATCAGTGGTATAGTATATCAAACTGGCATGCATTTATACAAATATGTTATTATGTGAAACTGATTTGTGCTTATCTAGGATTTTGCTATATAAAACATTTATTTATGTTTATTATATTTAGCTCCCATCTGCCATAAATACCCATAGTCTCAGATCAACTACTGACCACAGGTCTAAAGTTCCAAGCTGTCATTTAACCTCCTCACTGGGGGGCAGAAAACGCCACTAGGGTCAAAGTGTTTAAATCATACATTGTAATTGTCTCAAGAACTAAAAGTGGCAGAATACTTTCAGGAGATTTTTAATTTTATTCTGTACGTAATTCAGAAACACAACTCTAATCTCACTTTCTTTAAGTGTGAGTTGTGTGTGTCTCCCAATTTGCCAATCTCTTTTCCCTCCCAAGATGTGACTGAAAAATAAAGTTGTATTGCTATATTTTATTAAGTTCTAATATTTAGGAAGCATTCCTGACCAGCTCTGAAGCAATGGATCCTCATTGCTGGAAGCTAGGAAGATACACCCCCAACTTCCAGAGGCAGCAGTCCAGTGCCCTCACATCTGACCATAAATGGACAACTGGAATATGAAAAGGGGGCTGGGCAGGAGCGAGTTGTCATTAGGAAGGTGCACAGTACACAGGAAAGCTCCAAACTGCAGCTTCAGCTATATCCTTGGGAATTTTTTTTTTTTTTTTTTTTTGCTGTACTTGTAAGTGGATTAAATAAACCTTCTGGCTACATTTATGAGAATGAATTTCTTAAAATACTTTGGGTGCTCCCATTTGACTTAGAAAATCATAGACAATGAAAGGACAAAGCTGAATGGATCTCCTATGGGGTTCTCAGAGTCCCCACCCAGGAAAAGCGAGGGAACACCTTGGACCTGGGAAGGAAAGAAGCACCCCTGCTTTGTGCACTCCTGCAGTCCCAAGTACAAGATATAAAACACGACCTTCACTCGGCGTGTTAGGGAGCCACTTTTAGGTTCTGCTAGGGGCTGGTGACTAACAGCCATACTTTTCAGATGGAAATAACTTAGAATCCTCATGGGAGTGTTTTCACTTTCCATGCCTCTATATGAAATCAAGACACACAGACAAAAAGTAACTTTTAAAAAGTTTGTTGAAAATGCACATTATGAGAAAATTATGTATGGATATTCATTTTTTGTACCAAGATGAATGGAATTTTTAATTCCATTTTCCCCTAGTGTTGGGCGGGAAAGACACATAAGGAGACAAAGGTCAATTAAAGAGCCCCTGCCTTGAAATGAACCTGAAATCCTACCAGCTCTCAGTTTTACATTTAGAAGCTCTGATCTCACAGTGATGTGGGCTCCTAAGCTTTGCCAAGAACAGAAGTGTTTTCCAGTTTGCCTTTCTGCTGCCTTCTTTCTGTCGGTCTCACAGTGCAAGGGTCCTGCTACCTGACTCCAAGCCCTTCCCTTTTGTTTTTGACTGATAGATCTAACTGGAATTTCAGTGGACAGTATAGTTTGGATTTTAATTTTGATAACTGATGCATTTACCAATACAATGGATGGACAAATGATAAACTCTACTACATGAAGCAAAGTAAATCTTCCGGTTCTCAAATATCTTATTTATAAAGGAACAGAATACACGCCATCAACAGATTGCCACTATTCAAAGAATGTAGGCAGGATTATGTAATGGTAATGGTGTCTTCCACTCTGAAATTGCATCTTGACTTGCTTGCTTATCTCATGCCTGCTGCGAGTCAAACAGAATCCCTTGTCCTGACAGCAGCAGTTCTGTGGATCACATACATGGATATCTGACACACTGGAACCACTCAGCATTTGTGGAATAAATCAAAAATAAAATAAACATAACACAGGCATCTTTTTTGCAGGAAGCACTTTAGAATCACACGATCTCCAAGCATCATCATGTACTATCGACGCACAAGCAAGGCCACTTGCACAGTTCTGATTAAAACCTGCTCCGTGGTGGAACTGATGGGGTTTTCATCATCATGCAATGCTGATGGGGCGCCTAACTCACGTTGACCTGGGTTCCAGGAACTGGCGAATAAAGACAAGGATCTCACTCACCTCTCCACATGATGAGACAGCAAACCTTATCCACCCTCTCGGGTCTGGAAGACTCCCTGGGTCCTCCTTGAGGACAGCCCTCCAGATCCACCGCCTCACTTGTCAATTTCCCCATAAGGGAAGGACCAGTGGAAAACATCACCGACACGGGCTTAGATATAACTAACCCAGGAGAAGAAGAGCACAGCCAACTGACACCAAGAAGCTGCCAAGGAGCTCAGTGTCACCCCTAAGTGCTTTCTCGCCAAAAACGTTCCACTCCATCCAGGTAAGCTTCGAGCCCTTACATTCCATTTCTAGGAATCCGTGGGCCAGAGGTGTGGAAACAGATCCTATGAGGAAATCGAAAAATCTTGACTGAGGGAGAAAAGTGGCCTGACTTTTTTTTAACAAGTCAATCTCATGGGCAGTGAGAAGAGGAAGGAGGGAAAAGAGCAAGGCTGACATGTTACAGTCACCTGGAGTACACGGTGGTGTAGCGGAGCATGATTTGAAAGGGGGAAAAAATAAAAAGAACAGCTACAAAAGAAAACTGAGGGAAGCAGGCTTCTGTTGCAGCAGCTCAGATGTCCCCGGAGATGGCCATGTCCATGTCAGAGCGCCTGGGTTCCACTCCTGTTTCCACCCCCAGTCCCAGTGTCCTCATGCACACCCAGAAGGCCTCAGGGGCTAGCTCAAGTTCCTGGGTCTGTGCCAGCCACGTGGGAAGCCAGGATTGCATTCCAGGGCTGCTGGCTTCGACCTGGTCCAGACCCAGCTGGTGTAGCATTTAGGGGAGTAAGTCAGTCCATGGGAGCTCTCTTTCTCTGTGCCTCTCTCCAGCTTTCAAATACTTTTAAAAAAGTTATAAAAAATTTTTAGAAATATTTTTTTATTTTTACTGATAAGGCAGATCAACTGAGAGGAGAGACAGAGAAAAATCTTCCAGGTGGCCACAGTGGCCAGAACTGAGCCGATCCAAAGCTAGGAGCCGGGAGTTTGTTCTAGGTCTCCCACATGGGTGCAGGGTCCCAAGGCTTTGGGTCATTCTCTACTGCTTTCCCAGGCCACAGGCAGGGAGCTGGAAGGGACACGGAGCAGCCAGGACACAAGCTGGCATCCGTATGGGATCCTGGAGCTTGCAAGAGGAGAATTAGCCATTTGAGTCATTGCAGTGCACCCATAAATTGTAAACATTAAGAAATTCATGGAATGTTTGGGGAAATCAGAAACTATATGCCGAGTGTTAGGGGATGTTAGGGCACTGATAGTTTACGGATGGGCTCATCCTGCAGGTGTCTGTGCGCATGGCGAGCACACTGCAGATCTGCAGGGATCCATGGACGCCGACACGGCTGTTTACTGGAGTGAGCACACCACAAGACTACAGTCCACGCGCTGTCAGCTGACCACAGCTGCACGAACTGGAGGGGAGCGAGCCAAACACTTCTTTTTCATTCTGTTTGAATCTTTTTTTTTTTTTTAAGTAACAAGTTTGTTTGAGTGTTCACAGGGAGCAACCTCTCTTGAATTTCCTTCTCAGCACCGAGGGCCCCTAATTAAAATAAAAGTTTTTAATATCTCCACAGAACCTCCTCGAGCAGCCGTCCGAGTCCTGTCTTCACAGCCGAAGTGGTTATAATGACACGCTCCCCGGGTGGAAGGCATTTCCATGCTTCCACCAGTTCTCCAAATTCCCACTTTGAAAAAGACTTTTCCGTTTACCTTTTAAAATGAAAGATCCAAAAGTCTTATTTGCCTCAAGCTTGGTGCCTTTTAATTGACAGGCAAGCTCCCCACTCACGCCTCACGCAACCCGACTTTGGATTTTCCTCTCCTAAAAGTGGCTTTTGTCTCTGAACTTTACAGAGCCACTGGAGCTCTTTAATAGTTTCTCAGAGAAGCATTTCAAACAAGCAACCCTGCAATTTATTCACTGCTGCCAAGAAGAAAAGTCCCAGGTGTCACCAGCAAGGCCTGGCGAAGCTTCGTGTGACTTTTAAGGGGACGCTTCACTCCTCCACCTGCAGGCTGGTTCCCCTAATGCGGCTGCCATTTGTTTGGCTCCGGAGGAAACGATTTGATTACACAGAATTCTCTTTAGATCAAGTTGAAAATCTCTGCCCACACCGGGACAAGTGGTGAAGCCTGCCAGCTCAATGGGGGTGACCCTCGGACGCACAGAGCAAAGGACAAAGACAAGGAGTTTCCAGAACGGAAAGGGAACGTGGGCAAAAGATGCAAGGCCCAGCCAGCACTTCAGAAGGGGTCCCTTTGCCATTAGCACATATGATTCATTTGCCCATGCTGTTCATCAGCGAGCCTGGCACCCTCGGGGCTGCAGGCCATCTCTGGTAACTGCAGAAGCCCCGGGGCCAGCTGCGTCTCCCCACTGCTGTGTCGCCACACGTCCTGATGTGGCCAAGTCACCAGCCATCTTTGCATGCCTCCATTTCCCGGGCCTTATTATAGGGCACACCACTTTAAAATGCATTTAAATGAAGCAGATGTTAACCCCATTCGTTTCACTCTTCCAGCAGGCACGTCAATGATGATTTTTAAAATGCAAAAGAAAATGTCAAAGTATTTTGTTCCCTGGTTAAGAATACATCTGGGGAAGAGGAGGGAGAAAATGCATAACACACTCTCTGGTCATTCAAGAAATAATTATAAGGTATGTCAAACTACAGAAAATGGAGCAAGCACTAAATTAAAAGAAAAAAGCATGTCTTGTGTCAAAATGGCTTTTTCACTCACTCATTTTACAAAACAAGTTTCAAAAATTAAACTCCATCTCCCAGCTCAGAGCAGGCACATTCAGGCCTGGCAGTCAAGCCATTATCCGTGTGGCAGCTCCCTTGCTTTTCTGGTACGGCATTAACTAGCAACGATGCCTTGGGCTCACCTCCCATAGTGCCTTGAAATCCTTCTGCTCAATGCGGAGCAGCTCGCTGCTCTCCCGGGTAACAATGGTCGCATGGCGAGGCGTGTTGTCCAGAATGGACTCACCGAAAGCTGTCCCGATCCCCAGGGTACAGATGGTCACAGCGTCCTGAAGATACCAAAAACACCGGCCATTACCAAATGAAACACTGAAAGGATGGGTAAGGTGTCTTCACTTTGAATTCAAGCACAAAGCAAAACAGCCCATCTCATTGTGTAGCTCAACACATTTTAATAAATGCACATGCAAATCCAGACATACAACATTTTAGCCTGACTGAACTACCCATGAAACCCTTCTTTCAAGGGTCATCACTGCCTTGCTTTCCGTTGTCTTCCAGAAGTCTTGTCTGCTGTAGAACTTCATATAAAAGAAGCTAGACGGGAGCCAGCATTATGGTACAGTGCATTTAGCCACTTCCTGTGACCCCAGCATTCCACATGAGCACCCGTTCATGTCTCAGGTGCTGCACTTCTGATTCAACTCCCTGCTGAAGGTGCCTGGAAAAGCAGTGGAGGAGGGCCGAAGTCCACAGACCCCTGTCACCCACGTGGGAAACTCAGATGAAGTTCCAGGCTCCTGGTGCCCACCTGGTCCAGCTCTGACCGGCTACTGTCATCATTTTGGAAATGAACCTGCAGACGGAAGATCTCTCTGCCTCTCCTCTTTCAATGTATCTCTGCCTTTCAAACAAATAAATGTCTTTTTATTATTGTTAAAAAAAAAAAAAAGTAACAGCCGAGGGGGCCCGGCGCGGTGGCGCAAGTGGTTAAAAGTCCTCGCCTTGCATGCCCGGGATCCCATATGGGCGCTGGTTCTAATCCCGGCAGCCCCGCTTCCCTTCCAGCTCCCTGCCTGTGGCCCGGGAAAGCAGTCGAGGACGGCCCAAAGCTTTGGGAACCTGCACCCACGTGGGAGACCCGGAAGAGGCTCCTGGCTTCGGATCGGCATAGTATCGGCCCGTTGTGCTCACTTGGGGAGTGAATCATCGGACGGAAGATCTTCCTCTCTGTCTCTCCTCTCTGTATATCCGCCTTTCCAATAAAAAAAAATAATTAAAAAAAAAAAAAAAAGTAACAGCCGAGGGAGCCAGACCATGCACCCTTGCTTGTGTCTGTTCTGCGCTCAGTGTCACATCTCTAAGATTCACGCGTGTTGTTACACGGGTAGGGTGGCTTTGCCTCTTGGTGACAGGAATTTCCCATTGAGTGGCCCACTTGGCTTAGCCACTCTCCTACTGGTGGACTTCCAACCGCGTCCAGCTTGAGGCTGCTACAAAGAAGAATGCTAGCAGTCATCTTGTTAGCTTTTTCTACAACTACCATCTGCTTTAACAGAAGAGAAATCTTCTGAAGAGAAACTCAGCTTTGTTTTTTGCTTCTTTTGGTGAGAGGTTGCACTTACAACCTTGAAACAAGAAATTGAAAGAGGACTGTAGCTAGGTCTTACCTGTCCAGAAGAGATTAAAAAAAAAAAAAAAAAAAGCTGTGGGACCCAGTAGGAGCTTTGCAAGGATCCAGGGTGCCCAGCAGAGCTAATAAATAAAGGGTGGCCAGCTTCTAACCAACTCGGAGTATGGATTCCAAAATTTTTGCTATCATGCTGCCCTCTGCAGGCTTAACAGAGTAATAGCAGCCCCTGTGGCTGATTTACAAAATATCTGACAAAACTGACAAAAATTTCCTAAGGAAGACCTAAAAAAGCAATTTTCTTCTGGCATGCAGCACTGGTGATAATGCTTGAATTTAATCCTAACATCCAAGAATGTAAATATCCACTCAAAATCACCTGGATGTTAATTTTGCAAGGTATCATACACTGACGGGGATTCAGCAGGGTAAGCTGAGTCAGAAGGCCCAACCTTCTTTCCACGCATCAAATCCCCGATACAATGGGCAAATGTGATTAAGATCACGTTAGTGACTCTAATCATATTACTAAGACAAACGCCTATAAGAAACCAGTTCTTTGAACCATGGCAAATTGCTTCTGCACAGATATTACCACATAAAGTCATGTTCAGGAAAATACCATCAATAGTATCTCAGCAAAGAACAAAAGATCAGAGGATTTTAGAAGAACATGCGAATACATCTTCCAGAAAGATAATCACAAACAAATCCAGCCAGAAAAGCAATGCCCCAGAACTGAAATGTCAATAGTTGGTGAGTTAGGTATTCCTGAGCGATTCTCAGAGCTGCCAAAAACACAACATAGGAAAGTCTGACTTTCCCAAGTTCTCTGCAGGAGCAGCTTCCCTTGGGTCACCTACCAGCTTGCTCCATCCTTCTACCACCTGCACACTTGAGAAAGAATCCATTTGCCCCCTGCTGCTCATGAGTTCAAGTGCGCAGTTCAACCATGAACTTGGTCTTCTCCTGTCTTGCCTCCCAACAGTGACCTGTGCAATTTGACACCAAACAGCACAGACCCACATGCGTGAAACTCACATGAGCCTGTCCATGGCCAGCAGGAGACTCTGGTAATGCAAACCAAAGACTGAGTTTACTCTTGGATTATTCACTGGAGACTTTAACTGCAGCCAGGACTGTATCATTCTTAACCGATGGAGCCAAGCTGGCGTTGCCAGCGGCACTGCCTAATGATTCCACTGTGCCAGGAACTTGTCTGCAAGAGGAGCTCCCTATTGGGTGGTGCCCAGCCCCAGCCACTGGCCCAGGAGCCCACAGCCTGGGCTAGGATGAGGCATGGAAGCCCTCCACCCCCTGAACTGGCTCCCCCACTCACACATGCTTCATTCCAATGCAAGGATAGGAATCACAAACCACAAGGTGGGATCTTAAATTGCAGACTAGAAAACCTCACCAGAAAGGTGTATTCACTGCACATTCAAGCTCTCTTTTCAGCCGACCCATTCAGGACGGATTTATTCAGAAATTCGAAGGGGTTTACCTGAAGGACAGATGGGCCCCCGGGGTGACTGGCACAGGGAAGGAAAACCTAGCTTTCCAAAGACCAAGACCCGGCTTTACAGCCCTCAGGTGCTCAGGCCTTCATCACCCTGGATGCTCAGGAAGCCTCTTGCAAGGTTCCTGGGAACTAATTTTCAAACACATTCAAATGACATCTGCTTTAGCAAAACCAATATACAAGGGCACTTGGAAACATTCATGGAAAACAGGAGCTGTGGAGAAAAAAAAGTGATGCATGCATGTCAGAACTCCTTTGAGTGGCAAGAAACTTCTTTTGGTTCCTTCTTTCCACAGATTTCCTGCAGCTCACTCGGGAGTTGCTCCATGTGGACGCTAGGGGGAAGGGCACACAGGGTTCAATGCTGATGGAACACACTCCGTGTTCGGATCCCTCTTGCAAGTCCCAAACCCTGAGGCTGCGCCCCTTTGCCTGGGGCTTAGAGCATTAGCTTCCAAATGCTACTTGGCAACTGCTCTGCAGCTTGCACATACTCGGGGAGCCAACTGGGTCTCCATCCTACCTACCAGGACCTCTGCAGAAGGGTTTGCTTGCTGCTCATTTGCAGATTAACATTTTGAGAGGTCATCTGAAAAATATTCATCATGACACTGAGACTGCGGAAAGCGATCTGCACCCACACAGGAAGTGGGAAGCCACAGACAGGAGCATCCCGTTTGTGGTTAAGCAGCAATTTGCTTTCCCATTCCCAACGGGAAAGGAAATTATAAGACCAAATGCTTTCAGGTCCAGCACAGTAACCTAGGGGCTGAAGTTCTCGCCTTGCACATGCTAGGATCCCATATGGGTGCTGGTCCCAAGTGCCCCACTTCCCATCAGCTCCCTCCTTGTGGCCCAGGAAAGCAGTCAAGGACAGCCCAAAGCCTTGGGACCCTGCACCCATGTGAGAGATCCAGAAGAGGTTCCTGGCTCCTGGTTTCAGATCAGCACAGCTCCAGCCATGGTGGCCACTTAGGGAATAAATCAGCAGACAGAAAATCTTCTTCTCTGCCTCTCCTCCTCTCTATTTATCTGCCTTTCCAATGAAAATAAAATAAATCATAAAAAAGACCAAATGCTTTCAATAAGTAGAGGTGCATTCAACAAAGGCTTCCAGGGCATTTGAAATTTTCTGGAAGGTTCTCACATACCCCAGCCTGGAGGCCCACCTCCAGCCTGGTCCTCCTACCATCACTCCACCTGAAGACACAGCGTCAAGCAGCTCACATTTTGAAGGTGAGGCATGAGAGAGAGAGGAGGGAGAGGGGAAGAGAAAGACAAAGATTAACTCCCTTCTGACTTCCAGATCCTGCACACTTCCTTAGGGTTCCCCAAAAGGAGTATACTCCACACACACACACACTCTCTCTAACTCACTCATCCTGACACACATAATTAAGATATCCATGTTTCCAGGAAGCAAACCCTACTGTTCTGGTATTTAAATGAAAGACAATCTCTATATGTCTTCTGTAATCATCTCCAACTGTGGACGGCAGTGGCTTGAATGAACTGCCAAACACTCCAGCACTCTGGGGCCACGACCACACACAAGGACCCTTCTGACGAATCCTGCTCCAAGAATTATTTTGTAGTGCAGCTAATCACTCCTCCGTGTATCTGCTCAGTAGACCTGAATCGCAGCACACTGGGTACTCTTAAACAGGCACCCTCATGCAAAACATTGTATTAGCTTATTTCACTGCCAAGACAGCTGTGGTATGAAAATCAGAATGATGTTTTAAAAATCAAGCATTATGTGTCACTGATAATTAAAGAGTTTGTTCTAAGAACTTTCTGAAAGCCTTCACTAAAACTCAGAAAGGCACAAGTTAGGGACAATGCTAATGACTTTTGAAAGAGTTGGGGCTGAGTATTGTGGCTCAGCAGGTTAAGCCACCACTTGGGACATCACCAATCCATTATCAGAACACGGGTTCAAGTCCTGGCTGTTCAACTTCCAAACTTGCTCACTGTTCAATTGCCTGGGAAAGCAGCAGAGCAGCATGAGTGCGTGGGCTGTGGCACCGAGCTGGGAGAATCAGCTGGAGTTCTAGGCTCCTGGCTTCACTGTGGCCAAGTGTGGGATCACCCAGCAGGAAATATCATCTTCTTTCTGTTTCTCTCCATCTCCCTGCCACTCTGCCTTTCAAATAAATTAAGCATATTTAAAACAA